AGAATTGAACTGTAAAAAGTTGGTTATCAAATATATTATTGTTGTTTTACAAGCAATTCTTACCTCACTCTGGATCCCTATGCATTCAACCATAATAACGTAAAAACGCAACATGAGTAAGCAACGGGCAAGGGGAGCACATGCACGAAGCCCGACAAGCCCGGGCAATGGGCGCCTCGAAGTCGCGTCCAGCCGGCGCGCCGGCAACCCGGCCGTGGCCGTGGGGCAGGCGCCGCCGTCATCTACTTCTCAGTGTAAGCAGGCATAAGGCACACGGCGAATCCTACGAATCCCGATGAGCCAGTAAACTTATCGGAGTGAGACACGTGACAGCGTCTCACAGGCGTCCATTCTAGATGCCACCTGTCTCTATGCGACGCTCTAATTGGCCCACTGAGTCGTAGCTTCCACAGTTTGCTAAGTCATACTGAAACCGGCTTATTGGTGTGCCCATAGGCAACCAGCAATGCAGTTTGGCACTACACGTTGCGTTATCTAGCGGCTGAAAACTATAACCAATTGAATAGGCCAGGGCGGTCGCGGGGATTGAAGGCGGGCGCATTTAGAAACCACGTGTGAACGGGGAATTTCGGATTAATGTAAGCCTTTTTTGGAACCGTTTTTTTTTTTTTTTTTTTTTTGTAAAAGTAAGTCTCAACTTCACGTCTAATGACCTCACCGGGTTTCTGTGACATCTCGCCTACTCCTATAGTTTCCCACCAAAATAAACGTCGCTGCTGCTGCGTGAAAGACTGCCACAGTCGCGAAGGTTACCCAAGCGTCAGACTTTACCGCTTCCCTTTAAGATCTTGGGAAGCGACGAGGCGACAAAGTGGATTACTGCAGTGCGACGCATCAAGTAAGTGAATTTTACATTAATTGTTGAAGTGAACGAAAATAGATGTGCAGGTTTGGAAAGTGGTCTGGCAAACACGTTTTGCAAACTACTCGGCAAAATAGCATATTTATACAAGTTGTTTTACGAGTCTCTGAGACAACCACATAGAGAAATACGGTAGGAAAAATCGGGCCGATTGTTGGCTTCGCTGTGACGTCGAGAATCAGGCGATCAGGTCTTCAAGCGTGATGCCCGTCGGCAGTGGCGTCACTAGGGTCAGTGGCACCCGGGGCGGTGGCCCGCGGCTACACCCCCCCCCCCCCCCCCCCTTCTCCCCTCTCGTTGCCCGCCGCGACACCCCCCGGAGCGCTGCACCCGGGGCGGTTCGCCACCCCCCCCCCCCCCTTCCGCACCCCCCTTGTGACGTCACTGCCCGTCGGCCCGTTCCGGCACGCGTAGAGTTGTAGACGTGCATTTGGTTGCGACCGCGCGCGCCGTTCGGCACGCGCGGCAGCAGCCAGAACCTTGGCAAACCTGCGAGTTTTCAAATAGTAGATTTTCGTAGAACAAATTTTTGTCTGTTTCGGCTACCAAATTTAATGCTGAGTCTGGTAAGAAATGTGACGGCGTGCAGAAAACAGGATGCAAAAGTTTTTCTTTAGAAAAAGCTCTTGCGAAGCGTAAATATCCTTCTCACACGTACACGTTGTTGCCTGTCGCCTTTTTACACCAGGCTTGTGTTCAGCAGACTTGTACACGTTACTGAAAAAAGTAACCGATTACAATTACAGTTACTTCACTGTAAAAAGTAACCAGTTATGCCGAGGTTAGATTATTTGATAAGTTTTTGTAAATTGGGCGATAAGCGTATGTCACATGGCTAAGCGCGTGCGTGGACGAGATGAAGATGACGAGGATTGTATTCCTTTCTTTCTGCACTTTTCAAATATAGTTGTGAGTGGCGCCTGTTTGTCTCTTTCTCTCTTGTGTCCGTGTTTTTGCGCCTTGTAACATGAATACCATTCGAGTAAGATTGGAACGCAGCCCCAGAGTGGCCCATCTGCTGACTGTGATCTGGCCAATCTGATCTGACCTACCTCTGGGCGCGGTCATCTTAACGTCACGTGATCACTAATGTGGCAAACAGGCAAGATGGCGGCAACCGGGGCGGGGGGGGGGGGGGGGGTGCCATTTTTGGCCGCTGGTTTACCGCTCTAAGTTTTCTCGAGCTCGTTATGCAGTGTTAACTTTTCTCAAGCAAATTCCTAAAACAAATGGCCTCTCGCACGCGCGTTCGTCAAGGCTTTATTCTGGTTATTTACTTCGAATTTTTATACGGCGAAGGCGTGCGCCTGTGGCACGTGGAACACCAATCCCTTTATTCTCCTTGATGCTTGGGTAATATGGCAATAGGTCTATTGAGGCAAGTGTCTCTGGCTTAAAACAGTTGACAGCGCTCGTGTAACTACTTCGCCTCACCTTAGCATGAACTAGCTGCGAAGGCTGTGCAAGCGCGAGCGGCTAGCCTCGACTGCCTTGACTGGCGCACTCGATGCACGAGCGCCAAAGCAACTATAGCTCGCGCTTTTAGCATGCTAAGGTGAGACGAAGTATAGGATAGCCATATAATACAAACGTTAAAAAAAAAGAAGATTATTTGTGCATTTGTTGTCGTGCGAGCAGTCTGGCGCGATTGGTTCCTTCCGAGTTAAGCCCGGTTCACACAGTTGCGTTTGACTGCGTTTGACTGCGTTGCGGCAGCGAGAAACGAGGACATCCCTGCTGCTTATATCGCGTGCCAAGATGATTCCTTGAATTCGATTCCACGCTTCATACGAAGCACAGATGCGCCGGTGACTCACTTTCGGTACTCGACGCAACGCAGTCAAACGCACTCAAACGCAAGTGTCTGAACCGGCCTTTAGCCGAGTCCACGTACCTGGCACGGACCTCGCCGGACCAGGAAAAAGCGGAAATTTATCGTGTTTAAAATCTCGATGGCCGTGGTACGACAGGTCCGCCAACCTAATTTATGGCGCTTACCCACGTGACAGGCAAGATTCAACAGGTTCGCGGACTCGTCCCCAAATACGTTCGTGTGGTCCGCGGATGACTTCTTAAGTTTTGCGTGCTTTTTTCGCCTAGAACATGGCGGATTTCGAACCACAAAAAAGGTGACGTCACCGATTCCGTTGGAACTTGTCCGAGGACATGTTCGCCTGGTGAACCGTTGCGCAAACGTCACGCACGAAGTGCTTGACTTTGGCGTTTTTCGTGCGACGTGCGAGTTTTTCGTCAGCTCCAAACGGCCGGAAAAACGAAAGAAAACAAAAGAAAGAAAGCGCGATCGGGTGTAGTTACGGGACTTCCGGCAACGCTCTCTTCCTCTACATTTCTTCTTCCTCTCCACTCTAGTTTCATTTTATGTTTCCAGCAGTTGCGTTTTTTTTTTTTATTATTAAAAATATACGTGACGCTGTAGCAAAACATTGATTGTGTAGTCTTCTTACATAATATTGAATCGCCCGGCAAAAACAAATAATGAAAATATTTTTGGGGGGTTCCCTTTTAGATCGACCTAGCTTCGTCCGTTTTCTTGCACGAGAACCTTTCTGTCACCATTAGCGAAAACGCTTTTTTTTATTGTTTCCATTATTAGAAGTCTCATGCTTAAGTTTCTACGTGACGATGTATTCTCACGTGATGACACGGTGTCACGTGACGTCATGACATCACGTGACTCACTGTGTCACCTGACATCATTAAGTCGCATGGCATCACTGTGCAACGTGACATGACGGCGTCACGGCATCGTGTCAGTTGACGCCAGGTAACAGGTGATGTGATGCGCGGCGCGAAGTCAGAGTCGTGTCAAGCGGCCTGACGCCATTGTGGAATCGTTTGGCAAAGTGCCGAAAATGGCTCGCGTCGATGTGGAGCGCGGTCGACGGCGCGAAACTCGCGACGCGTCCTACTAACTGCTATCGTAGTAATAATTGCTGCGTCCATCCGGTCGTGCTCTTTCGGAATTACCTTTAGAGTGCTGGGCAGGCTTGCAGCGTTTTGTTGCATCAGAGTATGATTACAGGAAGCACCTTACAAGGACCGATCTCACAGCCAGTTTCATAACGCCACCGCAGCTAGCGCCATGCATCGTCGGAACTGTAGTCTTTCTGCACGAGAGCTAACTCCGCTGACGGTCTGCGCAAGCAGAGCACGAAGCGCCACAAACTGTCTCGTGAATTGGCGCCTGCCTTTTGTGAACTACAGTTAAGCTGCGTCAGACGTGCGCGGAACGCTTAGGGAGTTCGGTCTATTAGAAGCCATAAGAAATCGACAGAGTTTCCTTTTAGCATTCGCGCTCCTATTGTAAGGGCGCGCGTGTAAAACACTAGGAAAGATAACGTGATATTCCGTGAGCTCTCGTAGGGGCGTCAGGTACGCGGTTACACAAAGATGACGAAACGGCACTTGGCCGCTCGTCTTACGGAAGTTGAGGGCCTTCTCGCAGGCTATTCTTTTTTTTCCTGTTTTTTCAAACAATCCGCTGTTTCTTTTTTTTTTTTTTGGAGTTGTTTGGGTCGATAGCGCGCGTGCACAACACGTACGTTCGCAGGAGCCTCTCGCTTCAATGCGGGTCCTGGCAATATACCCCTAAAGTAGAACACTGTACCTAAAGACAAGGCCTGAGCCGTCATCCCTATTGGGCAGGAGATCGAACTATAGGGGGCGCTTTATCGAGCTTGTTGTCCACAAAGCCCGGTGTTTACTAACACAGCATAACAAAGGAATTGAACCTCACCGAGCACAGTCTGGGCACGAGCGCTTCGCTCTGACCGATGCTTCGGACGCACGAGGAGCGGTCTTCCAATCGTCATCTTCGATTTCTCTGATCAACAACAAACAATAAAATCCGGTTTGTTGCCCACACAGCTGAAGCATGCCGCCAGAGGCGTGAATGTTCGATCTCGTCCCCAATACTCCGCTCCCCCTTAAACTGAGGCTAGAAGCTCCCCTTTCAGCGAGAGCTCGCTCTCTTCCGCAGTAGTTTGGTTGCGCGTGACCGCACGTTCACACTAGTGTTAGCAAGGGCAGAAAGCTCGCGCTGGAGGCGGAGCTTCTAGTCACAAACACACACACACACACACACACACATTCTTACCAGCAGCAGGGAGCGTATGCGGGCACCGGCCGCGCAGAAGGCGATGGTGGCGTGGATGTAGAGGCCGGTCATCCACTGGAGAAAGGACACGGTCACGAGGAACTTGTCCAGTTCGTTGGAGGAATCCCACAGGAGGGCGTATATGGTCATTCCAAGGATCTGACAACGAACGCCGTCGGGAAGAAGCTGGAGCCATCGCAACGTGACTTATAAGTCGTCGCTTGCAATCGCTGAGGGAAACAATTCTACGAGCCGTCTCTGTGAGGTGCGAGAAAAATGTTTATCTAAATCTCCGTGATTATATCTTTAGCGTGTAGAGCCAGCAGGGTGGTAGCAAGGTCGACATCTGTATTCTGACGCGATCGTTCGGTAGGTGTCTGCGACTCGTTGCAATCTACATAAGCTGTTTTTAAACATTTGAATGCGTATCTTCTAGCCTACGCCATTCTACTCAGTTTGGTATACCGGATCACGCCAAAAAAATAAACTCGACTCCTACGGGAGTTATTAAGAGGACCGGATATGTTACAACTAGTTCTTACTGAGGCCAACACGTGCAGTATTCAATGTCCTGCATAGGGATGTTCGCGCAAAGATGTGTAGTGTCCGAATCACCAGTTTCTCTCAACAGATAAGCATTTCGAGAAGTGCATGGTGTCTCACCTCCAGCTGCATGCTACTTACAATTTCACAGAGCGCCATCAATCCGCTGAGTGAGAAGAAGTAGCCAAGGTTGTAGAGCTTGATCCTCGAACAGGGTTTCTTGGAGTGCCCTGGTCCGTGATGGTGCGCAGCGTGCTGATTGAACGCATGGTGATTCCTCGACTCTGGAGGTGGTCTCTCACTCATGGCTGCCGGCAGTTCCGGGAGACCGTGGCAACGTACAGCTATGTCAACCTGTAACCCCCCCCCCCCCCCCCCCCTTTTCGTATTTTTTTTCACATCCTCGTTTTTTGTTGTTAGTTGCTGCAAGGGTGCCCAGCGTGATGAGGTGTATATGTTCTTTACTTCCACCACAAATCCAAAGCTCCAAGCATGTATACGTTTCTTATTCATTCATGGTCAAATAACAAAATGAGTCTGTTCCGTGAACGATCAGCATTCAAGGAACAAGAAGATACACTAAATGACAACCGACTGGCAAAGAATAGACACCTTAACATGCCATTAAATTAGAGAAAACAAATTTTAAGCGTACCAGAGAAATTGTACCTTCATGAACAACCACTTTGTTACCACGGAATTTCGGACTCATACTCTGTTTCACATTACGTCCGACTGCAGCAAACGTTACGATCCTCGGGAGCCAAACAAGCAGTGGGCCAAAAGTGCTTCGTCAAGGCGCGCCTGTCATCTTTGTGCGTTTCCTATCTCACCGGATCAACCGATCACGCGCAGAACAAAGCGCAGGATCACGCCGCATGCGCTGTGCCTGATTGATTTATCCGGTGGTAGCAAACGCACAAGGCCGATAAGCGCCACGACGGTACAATTTGGTGTTGCTTGATTAGGTCCAACGGACCGTAGCATCCGCTGCAGTCAGACGTAAGGTCATTTTTTCCCCAGTATGTCGAAAAATACGCAGTTTTCTCAACGGAAAGTCGAGTGAAAGCGATTGCTTCATTCTATGATTATACCATGCCAGTCAGAAAGAAATGACGTGGTGATTTCCTTTCGTCATGCCCTGTCGTGATCATCTTAATACGAAGGTGGCGCTTACTGTTATGTCGCTTGCGACCTATCACTTTCTGACGGAGAAGAATATACGCACGCCCCTTTGCGCTTCCTGAGCCGCTGCTATTCCTCAGATTGGTGGTTACTGATTACGTGCGGTATACAGCTCATGGTTTTCCCGGTCACGGGTTTTCCCAGGAATTGAAATTATGGGGGTGACTACATTTTTAGTGTGTGTGTGTGTGTGTATGGGGGGGGGGGGGGGGGGGGGGGGCATTGAGAATAGAGGAGTCGTTGCGAATTAAGGGGTGCCTTCAGAAAAACAAGGGTGCGTGGTTGTCAGGCACGTGGCCAGGACTTTGTTTCGGGGGGGGGGGGGGGGGGGGGGGCGCCCATGACAAAATGATGTTTGAGTGGGAGGGGGAGAGGAGGACTTAGCAAAATGGAAGATTTCGGGGGGGGGGGAAGCGGGCCCCATGTCCGACCCCCCCCCCCCCCCCCCCCTGTGGCTACGTGCCTGGTGGGTGTACACCCCCAAGGGGGTGTGTAGGAAAACCACTCTTCCCAGTAATGCTGTCATCGCTGTTGTTTCAGTTGGTGTGGACGCCAGCGACTCAATTATACGCACCGGGCTTTTCCGTTTCTTTTTACAGCCTCAAATTGATTAGCCGACTTCAGTATTCTATACGCGTTATCGGTGCTTGCTTCGCCATTAAAAACAAAATAACTTATACAATAACGCCGTTGCTTTTTGCCCTAAGCTATTTGGCGAGGTGGCAACGTTTCGTCAAAAGTCCGGAATCGTTATTGTTCCATCATTGCATAAACCAGAGCGTTGAACTGAGATTCGTGTGTTGTGTCTCCAGCCCACCACCTCGCCTGCTTTTACCAGCTCGCGTGCGTTCTGAGAGTATTGTTTCTCTAAATTTGTGTTAACATCAGAACTTATTGTAGAGCGCAGCTCTTAGGCGCCCGTTTCCGGCTGGAGCGGCGTCGGCGTAACCGCGAGTTTGTGCTGTACTTTAAGAATAGCGTACTAAAGGGCAACGTAAAGGTAACCTCTTTGCGTTGCCTTTCCTCCCAAAACTCAGAATATGCAGGTCTTCCAAGATTCGAAGATCGTTCGAGAAATCTTAATAATTCCCCCGCCATTAAAAAAGAAAAAGAAAAGTAGTAGTGTTGGAAAGTACTATATGTAAGTACATGGTACTTAAAGTACCACTTCAAGTAGGTTTAGAAAACGTGTACTTGAAGTACATTCTCTGAGCATGTACTTGTACTTTACTCAGACTTGTACGTAATGCGTCACAAGTAATGAATTACTTCTAATCGATTACATTTTACTGTAATTTTGTAACGCTTCAATTACTTCCTTTAAGGAGTAACGATCCTTGTGATTGAATTGCTTTTAGAGCGCAGCTCTTAGGCGCCCGTTTCCGGCTTGAGCGGCGTCGGCGTAACCACAAGGTCACGTGACCCCCCAGGTAACGTGACCCCCCAGGTCACGTGACCCCCCCCCCGAGGTCACGTGACCCCCCCCCCCCTTTCCGCGCCTTCCCCCCCTCAAGAGCTGCGCTCTAATTCGGCATTACAGGGAGTTGTAAACGGCTTTCATTTTTTTTCTGTAATCATTACAAAATTACCAATTAAAATGTGTCTTAATTTCTTTTCTTTTTTTGTGTGTGTGCGTGTGTGTGTGTGGGGGGGGGGGGGAGGGGGAGGGTTAGATGTGCTGGAGTCACTCAGCTCTCGGCAACAGTTAATTTTTGTTTTTGTTTTTTTCGAAATTACTAAGCATGGGACCTCTGGGATTAGTACGCCACTTCACTATGCTTCGTTTCTAGGGTACATTTTTTTTTTTTTGACACACCAGAGACTACGTCCGGTATCAAAAATGAACTTATCCAGCTTCTTGTGAGTAGTGCATTTAAACAGCGCTCTTTTTATTTTGTTGATTTTTTCCACGAGAGGGATTTGGTGTGTTGGCGTCACTCACTCAGCTCTAAACAAAAACGGGCAAGGCTTCTTTTTTTTTTTTCGGAACAATTGGGCGCGAAATTTTCAAAATTATGCTACCGTAATAATAAAAAAAAATTGTATGAAAAGTAACATGGGAACTAATTGATTAGTTTAGAGTTATTTTTCGATTAATTTTTTTAGGCTGTAATTGTAATTGTAATCGGTTACTTTTTACAGTGAAGTATTTGTAATTGTAATCGGTGGCTTTTTTTCAGTAACGTGTAAAAGTCTGACTTTACTAAAGTGTTTTTCTTTGGTAGCTTCCGAAGACAGTTCAACTCCCAACTTAAAAGTACATTCCGAAAATTTCAAAAACAAAAAATGGCGTATCATCATGTAAAAACGCGCTATCGTCTTTCGAGACGTCATCTGGTCATTTCACTGAGTGAAGTGATGGCGGCTGTAAGACCGATAGAAATAAGTGCCTTATAAGTTGATTGTGTTAAATAGTTCGTCAGCGAGAGTAAAACAACTACCGTATTTTCCGGACTATAGTCCGCACCCGGAGTATAGTCCGCAAGGGGAAATTTGGGGTCAAAAATAAAAGATTTTCCTTAGATAGCCCGCACCCGGTGCATAGCCCGCACCCGGTGCATAGTCCTCACCTGGTGCTTAGTCGACACGAAAATCTTCTCATAGACGGCACACGTTTACAAATGTCTGCTTTTTAGCTCACAATAAAGCTTATAATGTGCATAAATCATCATTAACATACACTTTCATGCACAAAATTCGTCACGTCTCGGCATAATAAACGATTTTGAAAAACATAATTCCTGTATAGTCCGCACGCGTAGATAGTCCGCACAGCCAGAAATTTCAACTTTTAAACATGTATAGTCCGCGGACTATAGCCCGGAAAATACGGTACTCTGTGGCGACCTCACTTCATCCAATGCCGTATGTACTCAAGTAATAGCCGCACAGTTTATGAAGAAAACCTGAGGGTTCGCTTTTCCGCGGAGCACGCGGATTGCCAATCACCGCGATGGACAGCATAATTCCAGCTGTTTACAGGACAGAGATAATGTCTTCGTGCGAAGATACCATCTGTGAAGGTTGCATTTGTATGGAGAATCGTGTTCTCGATCTGGTTATTCGCTATATTACTTCTGCGCAGCGCAATAATTGACTGTATATGTGTTCTGTGGGAAAGTAGACGCAAGGGCCTTGTTCATAAATAGTGCGTCTATTACTCGAGTAAATACGGTATTTGCCGTCATTTCCGAAAAGAAAACTGATGCACCTCCGATTACTTCTGAAGCAATGCATACCAGTTAAAAAAAAAAAAAAAAAAAACTATATAGGGGATGAATTATGGCACCATGAAAGATTGTGTTAACTTGTACTTGTAATTTACATTGAAATTACATTTCATTTATAGAACTTTACTTGAACTACATTGCACTAGGTTTACTTACTACTATACTTGAAGTACATAACCTCTCATTTTCTTTGTACTTTACTTCAAGTACTTGCTAGATGTACTTTACGCGACCCAGTAAACAGGCAAACACTATCTGCAAAATCAAGCTCAGGCAGTGCTGAACCTCTAAGTAGAGATGACACATTCGCAATCCATCATTGACCAAAAGACAAAAAAGTACAAAACAATTAGGCACGCTGAAGAGCCACTAAAGCATCTCTGTAAAAGCACAAGCTGCTTTAGATTTGTCTAGCACAATTTCGCTAACAGATCAAAACCTATATACTTTCTTATTACCATAAAAAATATAAAACTAACTTCCAAAGTAATTCGTTAATTTTTACGGTAGTCAGTCATTTCCTAAATTACTTTCCATTTGAGTAATTTCTACTCTACTAAAATTCCTTTTGGAACGAATACTCAATAAGTTAAATTAATTCCATTTTTTTAGTAACTTGTACATGTCTTGTAATAATAGAACATCATTAAAGTCAGATAAGGGTGAAACGAGCTCGGCATTAGAAGTGAACATCACGCCGTTTACAAGCAATGCATTTTTAATTATGCCGTAACGATTTCCTTGTGTCGTTCCCGAAGAACTCGTGCTGCAGAGCAAAAGACTGAGGTTCGCGAAGGCACGTATCGAAACACTTTTTGTGTGTATTTTATGTCACGTTATTCGTCCGTCGGTCATTTGCTCTCACATGGACTTATTATTCTTATAAATTGT